TCAAGCACCCTCCTGCTTGTAGGCTCTCACAACTAACCGACAGGCCAGCTGGTGGCATTATGAATAGCCTGAAAGACTGTTTTTTAATAATCTTTTAACCTAAATAAACGTCTTCATTCTAGACTATTTGTCTCCAATATAGCATAAACATGCTAAGCAACAAGCTCCAGATTGAAATAGGGTTGTCTAAAGACAAATAGAGCTACAAGTTTCTGTAAAATCTTTCCTCTGAGCTGTGGGATACGAATACATGAGGCTGCGCATTATGTGTAAGGGTCACCAAAGGTCATTCTAAGAACAAATCTGTAGGTCTAAATGTACTACCTGGAGATTGAGACTTCTACTAGCTTTTTTATAAATTGTTCAAAACCAGGAAGGAGTTGAAATCCTTTGGTCTAAAGTATCATTCTGGAAAAATTATCACCTCGTCCCCCAGGATCCAAACCCTTGCTTTTGGCAGCAGTAAGAGTCTAAAACTCAATTGAAAATGAATTAAGACTGTTTTAATGCACCAGATATGCACCTTTCAAGCACAAAGATTAGCCACATAATTTTCTATCTTGATTTGCTGATCCGAATGTGTGCATTTGCCCACCAAATGCAGGTGGGCATCTCCTAATGCACTAGTTGATAGGCATTAACACAAAAGATGCACAACTTTCCAAAGAGATGCACAGGTACTTCCCTTCACCGTCGAAAAAGAAATTGCCTTCTGCTGTACCCTTCTTCCCTGCTGAAGCATAATATAGATCAGTCCAGTTTAGAAATGCAAGAAAATCCTCTCCATTGAGAAACAAGGAATAATGACACACAGATGCAGACCAATTGATTAAATAATCCAAATCCACTTGGCATAGAAGAAAAAGTTAGGAAATTCTACACACACTATTTTATAAACCTTGTGAGAAGAGAGCAAGATCTGGGGCAGGACGTCTGCAAATTGAAGACTGCGAAGATGAGCTGTGAACTGCTTTGCATTTTCTTTCACAGTGCTGCATGAAAGAGACTTGAGTACAACCTGTCACAAAGCTTTTTGCTTCATCCCCTTACACCTCTCTGTGTTGGTAATAGCACTAAGCTATAGCATCCCTCAAGAAAAATAAAGAAAAAGGTATTTTTAAATATATGAGCATGTTCCCCCATATTGAAGAGGAAACAGAGAAGGAGGAGAAAAAAGGAATAAGACTGAAATATTGAATGGTATTCTGTACTATTTCCTAATGTCAAGGGAAGAAGGCACTAAATAATTGGTGCAGGCGTGTTTCCCTTTGTTAACACACCCAACATTCTGTTGTGTGTGATTCTGTTGCTTGCTGAGATGTGGAATCCCTCCCAGTTGTCCCAGCATCTCAGAGTCCTGACAGAGGAGGAGATGGAGAAAATAGAAAAGGAAGAGCAGCTGTGAGTTTTCAAGCATGGTTTCAATTTGTTCCGGATGCCCATAGCAAAAGACCCTCAATTTTTTGGCAGTAACCAGCCAGAACATGTTTTCCTTGATTTGTTCCATGATGTCAAATGGCACGTTAGTGACACCATGCCCACATACACCAGATAACCCTGAGATTGCCTAAGATCCATTGATACCCATCAAGCCTATACACAAAACTTTACATATTTTTCTTCCTAAAATGTCTCCAAGACTTAAGTGGACACACTGAAAACAAATTTTGAGCCTGAAGACTGGATGTGTGCAATGATGTACTTCCACTAAGAGCTGCTAAGGGAACAAAAGAATCAGACCAGTGAATCATCTCACCCCATTTCTACCTGCAATGTATTGGCACTTTAGCCAATACAGAGGATGTTATCAATGGTGACTAGACCAGTTGGTGACAGAACATCCCAGTTAGCCCCTAAGTTTACTTTCGACTGCTCACTTTAGGACTGACATGCACCCTACTGGATTGGAGTTCCCTATTTCTCTTCAAAATGTTGGATTACCATGACTTTCAGAGTGTTATTTTCTGCTTAATTTGTTTTGCTGGTATTTTTTATTTCACATTTGCTGTCTCTCCCACCTTGCTTATTTGGCAGATTTCTCCATTCATGCCATCTGTGGCAATTACAGTTCTTTATATTGTTGCCATGCTGAAGGTAACCTGAATTTCCTTCTCTCTTCCTAACACTTTAGTTCACTACATGCTTTGCCCTGTAAGGAACTAATGTCCGCAGATCAAACAGATAGTCCTATCTCAAACAACTAATACCAGTGAGGAAAATGTCCCTGCCATGAGGATAAAGGCTTTATAGAAAGTGCTCCTACATACTCAAATGCCTTTTTCAGTTCATCATCTTTACAAACAACGCTAGCATGTTAGAACAAAAAGGGAGCAAGCACTTGCACACCTAGACTCTAGCAGTCTTCTAAGAAGGTCAATTTCTGAAAACACCGCAGCTGCCTTGGGACCTCCCACCATCACTGGCTCCTGCACTGGCCTTACCCTGTCCAGTTTGTGCCCTGCTTTGTTACTGGTTTTCATACATCGGGACAAATTCAGTAGAGAATCAAAGTCTGCCAGAAGGACAGAGATTTCTTTTGAACCTCAGATGGAAGAGAAGGAACAGCACTTCAGTGTGCCTCTAATTACAGCCACCATGACAGTTCATATGTGTAGCAATAAAAATAACCATAAACCTATCTAATCACTAAAATAAAGTAAACAGCTCCTCTCTGTATCATCATACACAGGTACTGGAGCTGCTAATAAACCAGGAAGAGCACTGAGGCACTGGAGGTGCATCTTCCCTATCTCCACAGTTTCTTAAACAACTTTAGAGGCATATTTTTATTAAGTATATGCAAGGCAGATGATCTTAAACCTCAAAAAGAGTCTGTATAATAATTGTGTGCTCTTCTAATGCTCTCCAAAGGCCTATTCAGAGTCCATTCTGAAAGAGAATAATATATCAAGAACTTCTGCAAACTTCCTTCTAATGAACACATGCCAATTTGAGACCAAGAATTCTGGCCTCAGAGGACAAAATAACCACTGCTCTTAGTCTCTGGGTGTTTTGCTACTTTATTTCAGAGTGATTCAAAATCTAATTAAATTTCTAAACTCTAATGAAATTACAGAAGAAAAATCATTTAGGATTATATTATATACAATTACTCACAGCTGAAAATTACAGTTAGCCTTTTTCACCAGGATAGGGTCTCCTGAGAAATTCTTGTTACTCATATAACATATAAATCTGACACTGCTCCCACTATTTACAGGTCAAAGGTAAAAGCAGAATTAATTAAACATATATATCCTGCCCAGTGGCCAAGTGGAGGAGATGGGTAACAGAGGCTTGGTAATGATGATCGTGCTTGAAACTACATTTCCCAGTTTGGCCAAGAATTTGAATAAACCTGCTTCAAAGTAGGTTTGATTATTAAGTCTGGCTTATTCTGATCAGTGCCCTTTCTCACCAGAGGAACTGATTTGAACTGCTCTGAACAGTAATAGTGAAGCATACATGCTCAACAGTGCACAGCCAGCCAAACGAGTTATCTGAAACATTTTGCAGACAACCAGCAACAGGATAAACCAAGCAGCTTTAGAGAGTTCAGCCAAACAACTCATATTTAAATGCTTAGTTTATTCTTTGAAGTAAGAGAGCTAGGCCAGTAGAAAAAAAAAAGCAAGCAAGCAAGCAAGAGGGTCAATGTTTATGTTATTTATTCCTTCCATTATAGGTTCTCAGGATCTTAAGAGCATGGGATCATTTGCTGATGATGTACAAAAACACTGTGAGTTTCTAATTGGAATCTTGATATCTTTTACCTTCACCTGGTGCAGAGAATTTTATTTGGTTTTGGATTTTCCAACTCTGATCCCAGATAAAACCACGAACAATTAGAAAACAGCAGTGAATTACAAGACGGCCATACATATGCAGTCACTAGCATTCCTTATAGCCTACAATGGCCCCATTAAAAACAGACTTCGGGAAGGAGGGCTTTACAGCTGTAATTTTCTCAGCAAAAGATATTTTACCCTGTCTGTAGATGCAAGAATCTGCTGAAACACTACCACACAAAGAGGAAGAAAAGGAAATATCCAAGAGATTTTCTCTTAAAAATTTGCACTCAAGTTTTGTTTCCGGTTATTTTGATTTCATTATACAAGCAGCTACATGAGATGAAGGTACTAGACAGCAAAAGATTAACATAAAGCAGAAAAGCACATCAAGAATCAAAAAGTAAAAGTAATATGGAGACCTTTCAGAGACTGCTGGATGAGGTAGGGAGTGGGCAGTGTTTTGTGTTTTCTATCCCTAAGGAATAGACCTGAAGTGACTTTAGAAGTATAAGTCCATTTAACAGAATGTGTTAATATTTAGTTACATGTTTTACTGTCATTTGATTTTGCAACAGGTTAATGTGTTTGAAAATGTGAATTTTCACAAAGAAAAAAAAATTTTTTTTTTCCCCACCATGGTCCAACAAATAAACTAAATCTCTAGAGGTCCCTTCCAGCCCCTACAATTCAGCCAGTAAGTTGCTGTTTTTCAGTTCCTACCATGTCTGGACATTTTTCTAGGATAGAAGTGGCACTGATGGCTTTCTTTTCCTAGGACTCACTTGTAACGTATTTGCAGCTGCGGTGAGATTTTTCCACTCTGTGTTCAGCCAAGTACTCTTCTCCTGAAAACATTATAATGGCATAAACGTTGACTTAAAATACATGAAAATAAATAGGCTGGCAACAGAAGGTTCTCCTTCTAAGGCAGAAAAGCCACTTGCACCACACTAGATGTAGAAGATTTCATCAGAGACCAATCCACTCCAGTTGAACTTTATCAAAGTTGTAAAAATAAATGTTAGCATTTAAAACTCCCTTAGAAGCCAAATAGCTGAATGTTGCTCTGTTTATCTTCCCCAGAGTATATTTATTTATGATTATTGTTTATATATTGAACGTAAGCCCAAAAAGAGAACTTGTTTGCAAGTTTAACTATGCAGGATGTGACTGTTACTTCCCTGTACACCACGTGACCTGGCTTTTTTTTTTTTTTGTCTCCCTCTTCACTACAGAAGAACTAAATTCAGAAAACTCGGGTGAAATTACTCTGTTGTCAAAACTTCATAATGACCTCACAAACAAGCTGGATACCAGTCCTAATGACGTTTCTTCTTCTATTACGTAAGTGGTCTATTGTATTTCTTTTTCATCCTTTTAGAAAGGTGCTTTTTTCCCCTGACTTTTGTGGGGTTATTTCCCAGTATGACTGCATGTATGTTGTTTAAGAATTTATTTAGAACTCTGGTCCTTAGGGAAGGAACTTATGTTGAAACAGTGTAGAATTTTATTGGGTTTTCTAGCCAAGATTTCCTAGCTTGAGTACTAAGGCATCATCCAGAAGACATCCTGAAGTTAAATGCATGCATCTTTGCAGATGAGATGGCAGAGCTGCCAAGCATCTTGTTTGGCACAATGCAGGAAAGTAGTTCAACGGAATATAGGAAGAAATTGATCCACATACATGCTACCTGCAAACCACTTTTGGTCTCTGTCTCTCTCACAGAATGTTGAAGCTCCTGACTCAGGATGATGCTTCTATAGCTTTCAAGCCAATGCAAGGCTTTGTCATCTTCATAACTTGCCTCTTGCTTCATGGTTTCTCAGCTCCATTTTTTGTAGGGAAGAAGTGGGTCACACAGATAGGAAGTATCATCAGAACTCAAGTTAACATTGGGGCTGAGGTGGACTACCAGAGAGGAAGGAGTTGACAGCAACTCCACAACAGAAACTAACATGGGTTATGGTGACCTCCAAGACATTAGGTAAGGGGGCAGGCACCCTCTGGTGGCAGAAACCTCATTGCCACCAAACAGACACCCCATGCAACCCTACTTTGAGCAGAAATTCACCTGTCCTTGGGGAATCCCACAGGTAGTTTTCCCTACCTGAAGCACGCAGAGCAGCCATTCCCCCTAGCATTCACTGGAAACATGCTCCTGCCTCTGCAAGAAATCCTATCAATAGGTCTAGAGCAGTGTTCTGTCCTCATTCCAACTTTCTTAGTATGCATAGAAATTTGTCACTCTCACTACTATTTTGTTGGCTTTTGATGTTCTCTGCATCTTCCTATGGATGCTCCGAAGGACCCAGAGGAATGAGGCTGTTTGCCACAAAGGACGTGGGTAACCAGCTGTGCTTATAGATGTGAAGAAAATGTCAGCAGCAATTGCTCCCTATTACTGACTAGCTATTGCTCAGCAAACAAATAGTGCAAGTTCCATTAATACGGCAATATTTCCCTGGAGCAAGGAGATGTAGACCTAAGTACAGCAAGACATGCAAAAGCTACTTTACAATAGATACAGGGAAAATGCATTGACATGCCTCCAAGCGTTACACAGAAGGGTGCAGGCAATGCCATATCTGTGGGCCTTGGATCGAGAGGAGCCTGGCAAGGACTAGAGGAGTTCTGGCCTACTTGTAGGAGGGACACTTGTCCTCATCTATTTCTGTAGAAAAGAACAGAGGAAGGAAACCATTTACATGAATGTGAACAGTGCCCACCTTACAAAATTTAGCTTCAGCTTCAAATTTTGCTGCATCAAACACCAGCCAATTTATCTATTATTTTTTTTTTTTAATAATGCTGTAACATGATGAAAAGTACAAAAATTACAGCAGAGTAGCAAAGTCCTAGGCTGCAGCAAGAGAGGATTCACTCAGATGTAGCAGTCATTAGCACAGAAAAGGAAAAAAAATTGCTTACCTTCAAAAAGCCTCACGTGTGCAGGAATCTCCATCAAGATACCCTTGCCTCCACTGCCAACGCTTAAATGAGGTCTGGGAAGGGGGTAGATCCTGGCTTTACCTCTTCTGGCCAATCAGGAGCATTGCATGCACCTGAGTTCCCCTGGGTTGGCCCTGCCTTACCACCAGGTGCTCAATCACTGCTTCAAGCCATGACTCAGCATTTCCACTACAAATGGTTTTCAGGAATTGTTTTCAGTGCAGTCATTGCCAGCAATACCTTCTTTGTTGCAGTCATTCCCTGTTTGACTATATAATTACACAGATACACACTGTGAGACCTTTTATTCCACCTCACCTCTGAGATTCCCAATTATTTTCTTCCTTCCCCCTTTGCTTCCCCCCAAAGGAGGCAGATGCCAAACCCTTGGCTACTTCAGTAGGCCAATTGGCCACAAGGCCAACCACTATCTTCTCTACTGAGAATGAGAAATCTGAGAGGGAGGAGGAAGAAAGTCACATGGAAACAGGAGGCAATAGAAGGGAGTGAGGAAAGAGCTGTGCATCAAGGCAGACAAGGTGCATGTTTTTATTATGGGAGGAGATTTTATTTTTATTATTACAGGAGATTCAGGTCCACCCACAGTCTGGGGAATATTTATATACATATATGGTGCAAATATATATATATATGGATTCATCACCTGCTTGGCTGCTTTACTTCCAGGGTAGTAAATAAAATCATGGCTCCTGGTTCAGACACAAGATGCAACATCAACACAATCAGTATCATAGAACAACAGATGGCATTGCCATCTGTTGGCATACATGTTTTTATAAATCCAGTCTGTAAATACAGTCATATTTCCATGAACTCCAGGCCTATTGGAACTAGTGTGGCCACTTCCCCAGTTGGTATCTCCAAACAACCACATAAGAGTTTGTTTGTTATCAGTGGACTTCCACTGTCCCCTTGACAAGAATCAATTCCACCTTCTAAATATCCAGTACAGATCATTGCAGACAAAATCATGCCATTGCAGATATTGGTAGAATTACACGTAGAATGTTCTATTAAGGTACCAGGACATAATTCAAGTCACTTGCTGCTTTACCTCCTTGGCATTCTGCTCCCCACCCAGATATCCAGTATTGCAGATTAGGCTGGATTTAGGCAGGCAAACTGGTCATACAGTATCAGTAAAACTCAGTGGTGTCTCTAACACAAAGTCATCTACTGCATTATGTCATCTATTGCATTATGGTGCAAATTTCATGTTATGTATGAGTCAGGCACATTTGAGGGGTCAGAAAGCTCCATCAGTTACCTTGAGAATGATCCAGAAGTCACTCCAATAGAGATATCAAAGTTGTCTTCAAGGTTCTATGACCCAGAAGCAAATCTTGTCCAAGTTCAGAGGGTCTACTGAAAGGATGGGAGATAGTCTGAACCCAAGTATGAGAGCCAGTCAGAAAGCTAGAACTGGGCCTGGGGTGCTGCAGAGCTTTGGGAATCATTGCTATGACCCTTGAGGATTGCATCCATCCCCAAGAGATCAGAGCTGAAGGCAGGACTTAGATCAATCAGCAACATGCATGTGTATGGGTTGATGGCTATGCTAGATGATCTCAGTGGTCTTTCCAGTCTTAATGATTCTATGACTGCATTAATCCATTTCTTTCCACCTAAGGAAAATTCAAAGCAAACAGAAGACTGCCATCTAACACTCACTCCTCAAAAGCAAAAGGTTTTCAAGGAGCATCCAGTAAATGATATTAAATGTTAATTAAAATCATATTGGAAGTATGAACTGAAAACATTCTCTTCAGTCCTATGGGTTTTCAGAGATTTCCCTCCCTCCTTTTTTTAAAAGGAAACTAATAATTAAATCTCAATATATTAAACTGACCTACATAAAATATTCCATGTAAAATATTATTTCTGCCATAAAACACATAATCTGTCACTGGTTTAATTCCATTAGAAAGCATACATTAAGGTCTATGTATTATGACCATTAGGATAATAAAAGTAATACAATATAACTTTTATTATGTTTGAATTTGAAACATTCTTCATATGAGCACAAAGAATAATTAGAGAGGTGGAAGAAAGGTGGCTTTTTAAAAATTATTTTTAATTTATAATGAAATAAATTCACAGGCAAGAGCAAAGAGACTAAAAGAGACTGATTGTGAATCTTGAAGCCCAGGAGATTTGCTTTTTTACACCAACAATGTAGTCTTAGTTTTATTTATTTAAATTTCCTTTTCTTTATAACTTAAATTTTGGTCAGGTTAAACAAACATCTTTGTGGTCATATCCTGAAACAAATTCCTCACACCTCCCAACCCCTACCCCAAAGCATCATTTTTGAATTGGGATTTTTGAAGAGAAAAGTGTTTTGTTTCTGTCTGTATAAAATAAATTTCCAGACATTTTGATTATGAAGAACAGTTTAGAGGAAGAAAAAAAGACTTTCAGCTGAGAATTACAGCTCGCAAGATACATTTGGTTTAAAATGCAAGAGTTTTTTTTAAGCTTCTCTCCATAGCTTTGAAGCGTGGTTCATAATTTATGAAAATCTGGGATTAGAAATGTGGCTAAGATCAGTAAATAAAAATAAATCTGTTCAGCGCCACCCAATAGATCAGATTTTTTTACATCATAGCAGAATTTCCAGAGCCCATGCTCAGCTCAAGAGAGTTTTCAGCCATCTGCAAAGTAGACTTAAGGTGGACTCTCTAAAAGGACCAAAATGATTGGTTGCGTGGCTTTGGGAAGAAGAAGATTATACTTCAATTTTAAAAACAATCCTATTTCTAGCATTCATTTTACTGGAGAAGAAATGAAAGCACAGCCACAAAGAAGGCAGAATGACTGATACACCACTCTCAGTTTTATCCAGGTAGATATAGAACATTTTTCTTGATGTCCTAACAGGCTAAAATATTTATGTTTCAGATTTTTGGAGAGCAAAGGTATATGCTTCTGGAAACTCAGAGGAAATAGGTGAGTTCATGGGGAGATTTTCACTTCCAACAGGAAAGCAAAAAACTATATTCCTTTTTGTGTTATATATGTAGAAGAATTCACATGCTTTTTATGTATAGAAAATCATACTCTGCTTATGTGCCTGTACTTTTCCTAGCACAGTAAAGTCTTGCCATGGGACTATGGCCTTAAATATTGTGTACGTAAATATAACAAGCAAAGGTAGGCCAAAGCCAAGAGTAGCACAGATCCTGCACATATGCAAGCTCTCAGCCTGATAGATGAAGGTGGACCCCTATGGTGCACACAGCGTTGCATGAATCATTATATGCTTTGCAGTTTACACTTTAAAAAAAAAAACTTCCTCCTAGCAAGAACTCACAGAACAGTCAGGAGGCAGGAATATGAGGGGTTACAAAGTGAAGGGCAGTGGGGATTTTGGTATCCATTTTGAGGGAAAAATTGGAGTTGTAGCTATAAAACTCAGCTGAGACCTGGACACACCAAATGCTAAACTTGTTCATTACCATAAAACTGCACTGAGCCCCTTAGCCAACAGGTTTGTGCAGCTTCATGCTGTACAGGGGCAGTCTGGTATGTTAGTATTCTCAGCTAACCAGTCTGGCTCAGCTTTGTCAGCCCCTTCTCAAGAAAAGAAAACCAATAAAAATAAACAAACAAAAAAATTTTAACTTTGCAACTTTGTGTTACCATATCTGAAACACAGTTCTGCTCATTAATTAGTGGTGTGTATTCACAGTTTTTTTTGTTTTTTTTTTCCATTTTTACAGATTTCACGTATCTTATTATAGGAGTTACTCTGGGAGCCTTTCTAGCAATTGCTTTTATAGCAGTAATAATTTGCATGATCAAAAAACAAATGCTTGACCATGTCTTCAGAGGTAAGAGAAATTACTCCTGATTTCTTATTCAGAGTTCTAGATTTCCTTGTGCTCTGGATCAGCAGATCTGAGCTCTGCTGTTAGGAATTGCATGTGTGTTGCAACTCCAGTTTTCCTCTGAAGAACTATTCTAAAATGTCTGAAGTGCTAGGGAACCCTAGAATTCACTTTTCAGTGTAACTAAATCGGCTATTCCACTTAACTAGAGAAATATGATTCACTACAGCTTACTGCCTGGGTATCTTTTTGAGTAACAAATTTTTAAAACAAAATTCTACCTATTCAATGTAAATAAAAGAGTTTTTGGATTTGTAGGATGGACAGGAGTGGATTTCAAAAAGCAACTTTGCAGCTCAAGTTGCATGCAAAGCACCAGCTCTGTGTAGTTCATTTTTCAGAACAAAGGAATTCCCCTAAACTTACCAAATTTCCAATACTTTAAAAATAAAACAAGTTATTAATGATGTCAATCAGAGAAATGGAGTGAGAGAACTCAGTGCAGACAGGCTGCTACAGAACAGGATTGGGAACCACTCATCCATCCACCATATCTAGAACTTGGTTCTGCGACTACATCTTCAAATTAGCTTTCATGTGACAAACAAGAAGTGATGTACCAGCATCCCAAACTGTATAACTACTAATTCAGCAGTTCACCATGACCCAGCCCTTCAACAGCAGATACAGCCTCTTGCTTAGTAAAAAGAAGAGCAGAGCTGTCTTAACTATCAAGCACGAAGTGGACTGAGCTCCTCAAACCTAGCCTTTTGGTCTCCATCATAGCATAGATTCAATGCCATTTTCAGTAAATGCTGATCTCTTAATGGATATTTTTGCAAACAGACTCCCCAGGTACCCCATGAGGACACAAATGATACTGTAATGCCACTTCCTGAAAGACAAATGGCTGATGTCTTCTTTATGAGCAGTACACAGTAGTTCTAAGAGGAAACTACTTCCTCCTAATTTTCATCAAGCATCTGTCCTTGAAGTTGGTCCTCATTACACTCTGAGGATGTACTACAAACTCAAAACAGCTAAAATAAAAACAAAAATAATGTTGAGAAAAATTGTCAGGAGGGATTCCAGCTGGAAGAACTGAGAAAAGTTTTAGGAATGTTATGTGGCATTACTAGTATCAAAGAGTTTTACTTCAGACAGGATAGCTTTGCCTACTTCACCACCTGTTCTGGTTGCATCCTCACTACTTCTGAACAGGCCTATCACCACTCTGTTCCTTGTTTTTTAACTAACCCTATTTTCCTGTTCTCTCTTTAGAGTCAGAGGGCAAAATGGATAGAAGGTAAGAGTAATTGCTCCTGGGGTTTTCTGAGGTGTAGTGTGATATACCAACTGCAGTAACTAACTCTGCTGTCTTTATGCATGATGCTTCCCTGCAGCTGTGATTTAAAAGATAACACAACATACCTGCAGATCTCTAGAGGACCATGCTACCCATTTGTAATGATCAGAAAGATCAATGCTGTGGAATGGTGATATAGGAGGTGTAATGACAAAGAGACTAGTGCAAATGGAAAGGTGTTACAAAGAAAAAGGAAAAGTACTCACTAGTCTCTGAAACTCTAAGCTCTCAGGGAAAACTCCACAAAGGAGGGATCTCCAACCAGAGAACTTTCCCTAGTGCCAGTCAGCCCTTTAAATGGGGTCTAAGAGAGGTGCAGCCAGGCTCTACTCCTTCTGGTCACACAGCTGATTTGCCTTCACCTGTGCTCTCAGGGCTGACCCAGTCCTTTCCCCAGGTGCTCAATCAGTGGTTCAGGCCATGACTCAACAGTTACCATACACCAGTGCATCTAGTGGAGCAGAATGGAAAAGAGAAATCCCATTCAACAGGAGTTTGACATGTAAAAACTAAGAAAAAACACCTCAGTAGGATGAGATTCTTTTTAAAAAGTAAATAGTTCAAATGCTTTTGATTCTGCCTATTTGTTTTGTACTACATATTATAATTGCAAGTTTTAATCACCAACCCTCCAAAACAACAACATCAAAAAACAAACCAACAAAAAAAACCCAAAACCATTAAATGAATTACTAGGTGAAAGCCAAAGGCCTTGTTTCAAGGGTTTTCTTTCACAGTTAGAATTTTTCCATATTTTCTGTTTTTACAATACTGATATTTTCAAAAGTGCTTTAGATTAAATATATACAAATCCAAGCAAATGGCTTTGTCCAGTCACTATGACTGGACCAGTTCTGAGATCTCCATTTACCCCAGGATCTTACAGATCAAGTGATACTGTGATTATTCTGGAAGGGATACGTTTTTACCCTTTACTTTCTTTCTCCCTACCCAGAACCAGCAAGTCCGCTGTACGTTTTGAGCACCTAAGGGGCTCATAGATACGAGAGGCAATGCCAGACTGCTTGGGAGATGGCTGCTCCTCATCTGAGGTCATTCAATAGGGAAGAGATGTACAGAGTGGGAAACATAGCCTGCAAGTCTGTTGGATCACAGTAATCTGCGGGAGTAGATGATGTTTTGTGTTTCTCCAAGACATTTTATAAGTAACTAGAAAAGAGATTACATAAATTAATCAGCATTCTCATAAAGTGAAGGCAACAGCTGTTCTCAGTGACCTAAGAAAAGCCTTTTAGCCTCTCTCAGAGAGGTGGATGTGAGTGCTAATAGGCATGTCCCCATCATAGCCATTCCTCACAGAGGCCATACAACATATGCAGACACTCAGTTGAAGATCAAGGCAAGGACATTCCTTGAGAAAAGTACTTCAGTGTTTTGCTTGACAGAAAAAGTCCCCAGCCTGGAGCATATGATGTTTTCTGAGGGAGATGCTTTCACAACCTAACCCAGCTAATGAGCACAGAACCCATTTCCTTTCACAACACAGAGCAGTCAATCTATTTTCTTGCAAGGCACTCACAATTTCTGTCTATCAAACCAAAATAAATTAGGACTATCATACAGTCAGAAGACAAAACATCGAGCATGCAGTAAGTTGTTTCTGGTGTGCTAAGGACAGTATGGACAGCAGTGAATGAGGAAGAGCAGGTGAGGAAGAAAACTAAAGCAAAACAGAAACCATAGACACCAGAGTCAAGAGAAGGAAGAGAATAGACAAGGAGAGATGTATCTGAATGAGATACAGATGGCATGATCCATGAACATTCTACATTGGATTTTGTTTAACTATCATATGGCTGTCTCTTTTGTATGATATTTCCTTCAGAGACAATATGAGCATCCATTATGCCTTCCCTCTGATCTTCCTAGGGGAAGCGACTGATTTTGTCATGGCAGCAAAATTTAGCAGCCTTAATGATGGTCTTACACTGGCCTCTCAGATGATTCCTTGTCCCAGTCTGCAAGCAGTTGCTAAAAGGTAGAAGTTCCCAGTTGCATGTTAAAATTCTGATATTCAGGCTGGAAACAGGATGCAATGCATATAAGTTTTCTGCCTTTGAGGCACTGACACTGACCAGTGAGAGAATCTGTAATTCCAGAATATTTGGGGGCAAAACTATGTATGCTAAAGATGATGTTTTTTCTGTAAAGTAGAAAACAACTGGAAATCAACCATCTCGTCTTAGTTGTACTTTTTAATTTTATTATAGCACTGAGTACTCCTTGTTCACTTTGAGGCACCTATGTACTACTCCTTAGTGGATTTTAAATAGGTTCTATAAAACAGAAGCTGATCTGAGGAAACAATATTTACTTTTACTGGTCTTGAGGAAACCATTGTTTTGTAAGTGTAAGAGTCAGTACATAATGCAAGCCTCAGTGAGTAACAAATATGTAATTTGTTCTTGTTTACCTACTGTAATGATAGAGTAGCACAACTGATAAAAAACAATGCTGCAGATGATGCAGCATGTACATTAGGCTCTAAGGAGCTTATGAGGATATGAGTGAGAAAACTAACAACAGTATTACCTGTGAAATGCAGCCATTCTTGAGATAACACCACTTTTTAGCAAGGAAGTATATATTGTAGTTTGTTTTATAAACAAATCTATGCTATTCCACATCTCAGCAAAAACTAACTTGTTTTTGCACCATCATTCTTCAATATAAACTACCTAGTCACAGAAGAATCAAAGGGAAATGCAGCATACAAAATCCAATGTCCTGTTTCATCTTTTCTCCTACCCTTTATAGGAGGATCTTTCCACAGGACTCTTATCCATTCTTTGTAGGACTCAACAAATGGTGGTATATGTTTTAGATCTTAACATCCATCATTTAAGTGGTTGAGGACATATGTGCATGTCTAAAGACAAGATGTATGGGAGGGAGCTGTTCCTAAAAACTTGCAAAATGAAAAAAAAAAAAAAAGCAAACAAATAAAAAACCTTACAATACACGAACACCGCAATCCCTCCGGACACTGGACCAGAAACCATCACTTTTTTGAAAGCCACATTTAAATATCATAATCACCAAAGTTGGAAGAGACCTCCAAGATCATCTAGTCAACAGTCCACAAATATTTTTTACATTGAATGCTTACACTGTAAACACTACAGTATTATAAGTACTGTGAATTTCCACAAGAGTAACAAAGCTATATGCTCATTTTATTAGATTCATTTTTTCCTATAGGTCAAAAGGATAACTTCCCGTTTACTCAGGTAACATGATAATCAGATCTAACTTAATTTTCAGTACTGGCTTCAATACTCTGAGGACTCTAATTCATGGCATTTCTAGGCCAGTGGCTCATTCTGGAAAAAACTTTTGATAAAGAAAACACCTCTACCACAAATTACTACCTCCTAAGTTTATTCCAATCAATCATACAGGCATTCTGAGTGATCATCAGTGTATCACCTCTTTAGAAATGGAGAGGAGAACTGGTATATCATCTGCAGACAATTTTCTACTTGATCACCGATGATTGCTCAGGGAAAAGTAAAACAAAAAACCACCACCTTAATCCAAGTGACACCACACTTGCTGAATTCATGTTCAATGAAATTTTGTTTCAAATTTCACATATTGTACCCATAAGTGCCTC